TGGGGCTTCGATTGGCAGCCCTTTGGGCTGCCAGAGCTCCACTATTAAGTTACTAACATTAAAAATCCTACTTTATCTACTGGAGACTGGAGAGTTCTGTATTGGTTTCTGTTAGTAAATGTGTTAAGTAAACCTTAATGTTTGGTGCTGGAAGTGGCTAAAATACTGTCTCATTACAGCAAACATTTGGGCCAAAATCCAGTTGGTGGAGTGTATGTAATGCCATCACTGAAGTCACTACAAGGTCAGTAGAACTTTCGTTTGGTAGCAAGTCATTTTACAGGAATGCAGTGCAGTACTGTGTCTATACAGAGATTCACTATATGGTTAATGACAAATATCAGTGTTGAAGTTTCACAGCACATACATGTAATAGCCCAATCATAATTCTTGGGCAAACCTTGACTGCACCTTCACATGGGAAGTGCATTACAAGCCTGCAAATAATTTTTGTCTATAAGCAGGTCATTTGTCAGGCCAAGGACAGGTTTTGACCTTACAAAAAGCCAGTCTGGTCGAACAAATTCTTTTTGTCATTACAAACTAAAAATGAGAGACCTTTGAGACATTTTGGTATTTCATTGTAGACCCTTCACCAAAGTGTTGGTTGCAAATTCAAATGACTTAAAAGTGAAGTCAACTGAGTGTAAAATCAATTTGGCTTCACTCACTTGATCACACAGGTATTCCGTATTTTGCCCTGTATCCAGTTTTCCAGGTGGACAGCTTGTCAGTCTAAACACTCACTCACAATAACATTCAGAGACTTGAAAATTGGCTGAAATGAATTCTTTGACTTTTTCTGAAGGCAACTTAACCTCGAAAATTTTTGGGGTCAATTAAATAAATAAATTTGCATAGTTAGATGAAATTCAAATTGGAAGTGGTCATGACTACAAAGCATTACTAATTTGTACATTCACACTTTTCACAAAAACATGTCTGTGGCACAGAAACTAATTCAAAATATATTGAACCACAGCTGCAAAAAAAAAAACTATAAAGAGCCATAAAACTGATTTTTGATCATATGGCATGGACTGGGAATACATTTGGTTTCATTTTAGAGGTTTTAAAGTTTTTGAAAGCGATTGCATTCAGATAAACAAAATGTGAGAATTTTGGGCCGTGTATCCAATTTGCATAATATTTTAGTCGGGTCAAATTACAACTGAAAATTAATTCCACAACACTTGCAGATAAGAAACAATGAGTAACAACATATAAGACCTCAGATTTAAGTAATTTTTCATACAAACGTAATTCAGACTAAATGGGGCTTCACAAGACACCACCGCAAAATGCGTAAATTAACACGTAGCCTGAATAGTGGTGCTGATGTGGTGTGTTTACAATTAGATGTGACATTTGAGACAACGCATTGGGCGTGATAAAATTATTTCTCAGAAGTGGAATAAAAACGAAACTGATAACAAAGCTTTTTTGTGTAGTATTGTGTGGTGCAGTATAATAAAATAGCTTGTTCCATATTCGGCCACAAATTTCCAATTAAATTATTTTTCGTTTAGCAGAAATGCCTGGTCAGAGTGTTTGATCAGGCTAAGCTTTTACCTGTCAAAACCTCAAATTCACCGGATAATTCTCCGATGACCGACTGTTATTTGCAGGCTTGGCATTATCTGTCATCTCTCTATTGTGGCTCATTTCCCCTCCAATGTATGTTTACAGAACTTTGTGTTGTCCAGTTCTGTTTTAAATCATAACAATGTTATCGGTGATACACAAATCAGACTCCACTTCACAATCATATTGTCTCCTACATAGTTGTCTATTTTTTTTATGTAAACATGATCATAGACTCAATTAGTGTCTGTTCACTCCCATTAACATTGTTAGTTTTACTTATTGCGCTGAAGTCTTTAGCTACCTGGGGAATAGTGAGAAAGTGGTAATATATTAAATGATATTGTTTACATGTATTTTTTGTGTAGTCTGGCATGGGATAATATTTGTGAGAGTAGGACCTTACAGACATGGCATCTTCCGATTTGTTGTTATACTTGAAGATGAGTGAGTAGACTTGATAATTTGTGTTACTGACATGAATTTCATTATTAGATTGATCTGAACTTCAGAGAATCGGGATATAATTTTTAATAAATTATGTACCAATATACATGTTTCTCTGTATTTATATGGAGAGGAAGATGTATATTTGAGTCAGTTATTCAGGCTAAATGGAAATAAAACACTAGAATTACAGTACCACAGTGGAACCTTTCCTTACGGACACTTCTCTAAATATGGGCAGTTCTTTGCTTCTGGCAAGAAGGCCATACACTGTACACTATACCTTCTCTATTTAAAGAAATGTCTATAATGCAGACCCTTTGTAATATGGATACCTTTTATTAGGGAAAACCATAGACAGTACGATATCATTTATTTTCTGTTTGTGGGTTCAGATGAAATGATCATCAGATACGGAATCTACATACACGTACAATAAAAGTAGTCAATATAAGTATCGATTATATGGCTGTCTCACAAAGACTGGGAACTACCGAATTCACCAATTTGATTGGCTGAAATTGATATTGAAAACAGTTTAGATTTTCCCATCTTGATCGGCATCTAGACTGGATATATTTTGTGATGAAGAAGTTGCAAACTAAAATGCAAAAACATCGATTATTTTCTTCTAACAATATTTATTTCTGGAAGTGCCAAAAAGTCTGATGAGAAAAAAAGTAAAGAGGACAAGCAAACTTTGGCAGAATTATATTCAAATTCAGCTCATCTCTGTTTGCAAGCTAGATGTCAGTTAGTACAAACCAGTTACTTTAAACAAATTACATGTACATTGTTCTTGTTTGCTATAAATTATAATAAACATCTTATTAACC